TAAACTTTCCTGGATGGCTGTGCTTTGGGGAAATCTTCAGGTAGTTTTCGTTGGCCTTGTTTTGAATGGCCTTTCTGCCCTCAGCTTTTCGTTCTTGCTGCCAGTTTGTCTGCAGGGTGGCAAGCCGAGGCCTCTAGGCCTTCTAACTTTCGATGTCCCTGGCAACCAGAATCCGAAGTTTGTTGGAATTTATATGAACCGCGAATCCTTAGAGCCTACAGCTGGAGGATCCCCTCACCTGACCTTCAGAGGTGGCGGCCATTGGCCATTAGCACTGATGGCAGTTTGGAGGGTTCAGAGACTGGATTTAGGGAATGTTGCCCTAATGTCCTTTGCCTCTGCCTTTCTGCTGGGGGTTGGGGGTGGCATGGCATGGAACCTTGTGCTTTATTAGGAGGCATTGACAGGGAGGAATCCCAGGTCGCGAGTTCTATAGGTTGGTGCATCTTAGGAGCAACTGCACGCGTCAGTTTGAGAAATACTGATCCAGTGTTTGTGGGTCAGAGGGAATTGTGTAGTAGGATTGGAACAGCAAAAGGATGCTGTGATCACTGAAAATCGTCTGCAGGATAGACTTCAAAGGGAGCCCTGGTGGCACAGTGGGAAAGCACACAGTTCGAACCCACTATCTGCTTCTCGGCAGGAAGATGAGGCATTTGTTCCCGTAAAGACTGTTGGTGGCACTGTTGGGTGCAGCCTAACCCGTTCCAACCCCTATGGACCCTGTGTACAGCAGAACAAGACCCCGCCTGGCCCTCCACCCTCCTCATAGTGTGGCTATGTTATTGCAGCCACTGTGTCAGTCCATCTCAGGGCGGCATCCTTGTCTTCCTTCCTGATCTCGTCCATTGTGCCAAGAGCGCTGCCCTCCTGATAGCATGTTCAGAGTATGTGAGACGAGGTCGCACCCCCAGGCCCCCCTTCTAAGGAGCCTTCTGTTTATCCTTCCTCCAAGGCCAGTGTGTTTCTCCTTCTGCCGTGCCACAGGACTGTCAACCTTCTTGGCCAACACCATGAATCAAGTACATCCGTTCTTTCCTGGTCCTCCTTAGTCATTGCCCGGCTCTCGTGGGCTGGACCTACGAAGGGGAAATGTCACAGTAGAAATACCATGGCGTGGGGCAGGTGCACTTGGGTTATCAAAGCGACATCGTTGCTTCTCAACACTCTCAAGTGGCCTTTTGCTGCAGATTGGCGCAATGTGGGACTTCGTTTGATTTCTCGACTGCTGCTTCCCTAGGGAAGGAACTGCAGCCTAAGGCAGTTCTGGTCTGTCGTCTGTAGATGCTGTGACTGGATTTGACTTGTGGCACTCAACAACAGACACGTACAAAATTGTTATCGGAGTCTTTCAAACACAACGAAAAGAAGAAGTAGAAATAAGGTTCCCCAAACCTTGTTGTAACAAATATTGCCAGGCTGCCTTATTTCCTTCAAATTCAAATAATAATATTTATCAAACTTACGTAGATGTCGAAATGTTATACCAAATGTAATTAGATCTCTCAGATCCTGTCTTTCTCCCTTCTTCAGGAACATTATCATCCTGGACTCGATCTCATTTATTCCCACGTATGTTTTACTCTCTCAGGCTCCATGGGAAGTGTCCAAAGTTCACGGGAAAATGGAATCAAAAGATAATGAGATCTCCCCACGAACCATTTGAAGCCCCCTCATATTTTTGTATTCATCGATCATATGCATTTGCATGCTTCATGCTCATTTGCCTACTTTTATACCTATAATACATCCTCTTTAACTTTCTTTTCTCCCTCAATATGGAATTTGTGAGAGATATCCATTTTAACTCTAGTTCACTCGCTTGTCGCTGCTGTGGAGAAAGGACAGGCACGGAACAAAGTCGGCCCACCGCTTGTCTTTTGGTTGGGCTCTAGCCATGTCCTTGGCTTACCTGTTACGTGTGGCTGCATTGCACGAAGAGGGCAGCCTTGAGTAGGTGAAGCAGAGATGGTGGTAGAATGGCTAGACCTCCCTGAAGCACCATCTGACTCTACAGAAGACCACTCCTGCGGGAGAGTGTCCCGTCGAGGGACTGGGAAGGCAAGGAGGGATGAAGCAAGTGCGAAGCTCGGGTCCTGGCTCTTGCCCACGGGAGAACTATCAGGCTCCAGACTCCTGGGGTTTGTTGGTGCCCAGCGATGAGACGAGCTTGCACATACACATACGTGCAGCAGCAGCAAAGGGTTAAGGCACACGTTTATTAACGCACAGAGTCACTTCAGGGGAGATGAAACAGCCCCTCTTGGGAGTTGAGAAGGACGCTGTAAGCATGGATAAGATCTACTTCGCTCCAGAGGCGAAGCAGGTCCCCCTCGCTGGTGGAGGTGAGGATGTTGTCTAGGGAACGCTTCTAGGTTTTAGGTGGCTCTTTCAGAGGGGAGACGGTTGCCACTCTGCAGATGGCCAAGCAGCTTTCTAATTAGTTGCTCCGTTCTTCCCGGGGTCTCCTACATTTTATCCAGGCTACTGCTCTGAGTCAGCATGGCTCAGAATTATCTTTGAGGGCAGTCCAGTGTCAGACTTTTACTGGGGCCAGCTTCAAGGTGAAGGTGTTGACCAAACCCGTCCTCCCAGAGGCCTTTGCTCATTACTTGGCTCACAGGGTCCCTTGTTCACCCCCTTAGCAGGCAGGGCTCACGTCCCTGTTCGATCCCTGTCAGGAAGGAAAGAACCCAGGTGCCGTGACTCTTGAGTTAACTCTGAATTTCAGTGAGCCGTGTAAGTCAGAGGAGACTGCCCTCCGTAGAGTTTTATTGGCTGATTCTGGGGGCAGTCAAGGCCAGACCTTTCTCTGGGACCCCTCTGGATGGACTCGGCTGACAAATCTTGATTCAGAGCTAAGTGAGTCCACCCCTTGCACCACCCCGGGACTCTGGTATGACAGTAAATTGTGTTTATTTTTCCTGTCGGCTGGGTGTGGGACCTTTCTCCTTTTCATGGGAAAACTCTGTTTCAGTAATCCGTTCAGTACGCGTGTCCTGCTGCACCTTTTCAAGCGCATCTCGAGAGTAGACTCTCCGCGGCGCCTGGGTATTGCATGGGGTTAAGAGTTTGGCTCCCAACCGAAAGGATGACGGACCAAGTGCACCCCGAGGCTTGGTGATCTGCCCCGGCAAGATCAGCTCGTCCCCTCCGAAACACAGGGCGTGGCCCTGAGTTGGGAAAGACTGGGCCCAAACTGGTTTGGGGTGTCCAAGAGGACACAGCTGGCAGTGACGTTGTTGGGTGGTGCTGTATGCGCGCCTGAAGGCTGCCCCAGTTGTTGCTCCATGGATCCAAGAAGTGCCGGTTTGTACTCTTGCTAGTAGTCCACGGCACATCCTCTCTCTTCATCCTTGCCAGCAGCTTGATATCTGAAGACCTTAAGTGTGACGAGTGTGATATGTGTGACATGGTGCTTGATTGCTTGCGAATAGTGTTTCCCCGAAGTCATTGGCCATTGTCTGTTCCACTTAAGGGAATCGCCTGACCACATCCTCACCCGGAGTTCTTCCCCCTTGTCCTTTGGATTGGCGGGCATGCTGTCTATGTTCTGAAGGATAGGTTACAGGCCCCAGCACCGGGCTATGAGTTGGCTTTGAACGTCGGGATCCTTTAAAAAGTCTGAGCTGTGTTTTCAGGTCCGGTTCATCTTGGTTCCATAGGATAAAGATGAGGCTGTTTCTTCCTGTAAAGATTTACAGCCTCAGAAACCCTGGATAGGGGTGCTCTGAGTCAGAGTCAATTTGATAACCTTGGGCTAGGTTTGGGGTTTCATCTGGTTTGATCTTGACAAAATACATAGATGTGCTTACACACACACACAGAGATTTTTTTTCCTTGGGAAGATTGGTACGGTTGCAAGGGGTCTAAGGCTGATCAAGAAGCAAGCCCGTGGCAGCTGTCTCCTCGAGGCTGATCCAACACAGCCTACCACAATCAGTCAGTTTGGTTGGACTGATTGATCTTGACACTTCGGTTGTGTAGATGTGACCCCAGAGAGGACCCGTGGAAGCGGGTGGTTACAGGGAGGGAATGAGAAGCAGAGGGTCTGGAGGGATGCCTGGGAGAGAAAACGAGCGTGATTTGTGGTTTGGGGTTTCACTGTTTGGGTTTTGGCTGAAGTCGGGCCTTGGTTGCAGCCCGATCCAGCGGAGCCATTCTCTGGCCCACAGCAATGTAAATAATTGAAGCGTCCATTTGCCAGCCAGACTGATTTTGTTTGACTGCACCCTTGTTCATCAGCCTCAAAACAGGCAACGGGCTTCCCCAGCCCTCTGCCTCCGCTGTCCCTTCAAATCAAACTTCCTGAATCGGATAATTTAAACAAGCAAGCAAATACACCTCCTGCCCTTTGGGTTGACATTTTGTTGGTGGTGGTGGTGGTGGTGGTTGTCATTGACTTGACCTCTGACTTCAGGGCAACCCTGTGAACCAATGCTGGCCGGTCTGGTGCCTTCCCACGATGAATTGCGGAACAAACGGGTTTCCCCTGGCTGATTTGGGGGAGTAGATCGCCAGAAGTTGAGATGACTGAGTTAGCGCTGATGAGCCCTGAGACGTGGGAGCAGTTGAGAACCTGGTCATGGGCAAGGCGCTGCAGAGACTGTGCAGCTCTTGTGACCAATCGTCATCACTCCCATGATCTCATCACTCCCCCGTCTCTGCTACTCTTTCTGATTTTGCTTTTCCATGGCTTGTCTTTCACCTTCCACCATCACCTGTTCACCTCTCGACTCTCCCACGGGGGTCTTGGAGATCCCGTGATTGCCCTGGACCTCTTCAGAGGCTGCTGGCTGGCTTAGAGGCTGACTGTTCTCCCTGAAGCCTCACCCTCCGGCCACGGCACCTTGAGAACGGGCCTCGTGAGGAAAGCCTGTCCCAGTCTTGGGGTAGCCCGTCTCCCAAGGTGGGCCTTGACTCTTTCCCCTAGCTGCGTTCCCAGGCGCCTACGGGGGTGTGCTGGCCTCCTGGTGATCTGTTCTCTTTCCCGTTCACAGCAGCAAACCCCCTGCTTTGCTCCACCGCCCGCTTCCACTGCAAGAACGGCCTGTGCATCGACAAGAGCTTCATCTGCGACGGGCAGAACAACTGTCAGGACAACAGCGATGAGGAGAGCTGCGAGAGTTCTCAAGGTAGGAGCCTCTCGAGCGCCCAGGGAATCGCCACTGCATCACATCAACCCCGGGGGGGAAACGCTCACTGCAAAGGCACCAGGCCCGCAGGCACAACAGCCGTGTTCGTTTTGGCCCTTGACTCTGTAGGAGCCCCGGTGGCATAGTGGTTATGCATTGGACTGCGATCCTCAAGGCCCGCCGTTCGAAACCACCAGCCTTTGTGTGGGAGACTGAAAGGGCTTTCTACTCCTGTGAGAGTCCCAGTGTCAGACACCCACAGGGGCAGGTCTACCCTGTCCTACAGGGTCACTGTGAGTCAGAATCGGCCTGATGGCAGTGAGCGTGGCTTCTTGTAGCCCGTGGACGCGGGTGGTTTTGACTAGCACACATTTTGTCCTATTTCCCGTGCATTGTGCATCATTTATGTTTTCCTTCAACACTGGAAGCTGCTCCAATTGCATTGCGTTCTGCGGTGCTGCTAGGCTGTGCGTCTCTCACCCATCGCAGTGTATGGGGGCATCTAGATGCCTTCTTCCCGTTGGCCTCTTTCTGTACGATGAATCCCACCGGGTGGGTGTTGTGCATGGCTCAGGGCGACACCATACACAGGTTGGGAGTGTGTGAGCATTGCCTGCACTTGTCGCTCTCATTCACTTCCACGGGCATTCTCTGGTATTGATTTTGTTTTCTTCTTGCTGATTTAGTAGCGGAAGGATGAGCGTTCTCCCAGTGCAGTGATGCTCGCTTCTCCAGTTACACGTGAAGCAGAGTGTTTTCCTCCCAGATTTTGTTGACTACTGTCTCCTCGGGCAGGGATCATCGGCTCTGGTCAGGGATCTTGAATTTGGGGCTGTTTTACTGAAGTTGAAAGATGCAACTGAGGGATGGGAAGTGAGCCTGGTTGGGGAGCCTTGGGAAGACTGTGTGTGGGAAGGTCATGCCTTCCCTGATTAAGCTGACCAAAACATTTCTGGACTCACATCCTGTATTCCTTCAGTGATTCCGGAGGGAAAAACCCCACATGCACAAATGTTTTTAAAAAAATGCACATCCATTTGTTTGTTGCTGTTGTTCCACATTTATTTTAATTTAAAGATTGCTTTATTGGGGGCTCTTATAAAAATCCATACATCAGTTGTATCAAGCATATTTGTACATATGTTGACATCATTATTTTCTAAACATTTACTTTCTATTTGAGCCCTTAGTATCAGCTCCTCTCTGCCTCCCCCCACCCTTGTGACCCCTTGATAAATTGTAAATTATTATTATTATTTTCAAATCTTACACCAACCGCTGTCTCCCTTTCCCCACTATTTCTGTTGTTCATCTCCCGGGGGGTGGATGTGGGGTGGGTTGGGGTGTTATGTGTCCGTCATTGCAATCAGTTCCCCCTTCCTCCCTTCCTCTCTCTACTTTCCCACTACCCTCCTGGTATCACTACTCCCATTCCTGTTCCTGGATTCCATGTGTCATAAGCTCTTATTTCTTATCTGTTCCTGTGCACTTGCTCTGGTCTAGCCTGCTGTGTCACTAATGATGAATGGGTGGCTGGGTGAGGGAACGAACAGACTGTGTACATCCGTATCGGTATGTCCGTATATATACATCCATATCTGTGTGTCCGTATATATACATCCATATCTGTGTGTCCATATACGTACATCCATATCGGTGTGTCTGCAGCAGACTTGGATTCCAACTCATGGCCACCATTTGTACCACCCAGGACAGGAAGGGAAGACAGGAGGAGAGAAGAGAGGATTGTCTGGTGAGATTCTCACTAAAGACCATCAAAGGCGCTGTGCTGGGCCAGTGGAGGCTGGCAGGCTGAGGAGAGCGAGAGGAAGTCAGTGTGTGTTACCGGGACCAGCATCTAGACAAGTTCCTCGGGCCCCAGCCTACAGCTCTGTCCCAGCTAAACGTCCGCCATCGTGGCATGCATTTTCCTTTCCTTTTCTGATTAAATCCTCATGAATAAATCACGTGTGGATAAATCACGCCATCTCCAGAATGTTCCTTGCCTAGGGCCCTACAGAATCTAGAGGGGGACTCAGGTGGCCTGACTCACTAACTCCTCTGCTTCATACCCGTATGTCCTGTGGTCTGGTGGGAGTGAGGTTGGGGCCAAGGACTCCAGGTACGGCTTACGCTGCAAGCTTGTGCGGGTGCTCGGGGATGCACACTGCCCTGCTCTGTCTCTTTGGGATCAAGCATTTGTTCAGTTAAAAAACAAAGAAAGGAGAAAGAATGCAGGTGCCTGCCTACCTTCCCAGGACAGGAGGAATGCCGGGAAGTTAGTTCTCTCTCAGAAGCCATCTCAGAAGCCTGGGGAGTTCACGGAGCACTTTGACAATTGCGATGCAGTTTCTTCTTCTGGCTTGCTGTATCCTGGCAATAAAGGGTGGAGACAGATTTTCAAAACTGGACGTTTTCATCGTACCAGAATCTAAAAGTGACTGTGTTTGTGTGTGTTATGAGCGTCTTCTCACAAAGCATTCACGTTGGTGAGCGACTAATTCGCTACCTCCCATGCCGAGGACCCTGTGCCACCTAGGGGGCGCTCCAGAAGTCCCCTTTGCTTTCAAAGAGCCTCGTTCAGCCCAGCCATCGCATGGTCAGTGAGAGAGCCTAGTGCACGGAGGCCCTCGGGCAGATGCATGGGGCTGGGTGGATTCTGGGAGTGGTTAAAAAGCGGAAAGAGAATCCTGTTGGGAGAGGTTACTGGTTGACCTCCTGTCTGGGGCTTGGTAGAGCCATGCTAAGGAGCCTGGGGGTTAAGCTCGACTGCCCCCCAAATGGTGAGTGGTCCGAGCCTGTCCAGCAGCTCCGCAGGAGGGCAGACCCGGCAATCTGATTCCACAGCGTTTACAGTCGGGGGCAACCTGAGGACCAGCTCTCCTCTGGCCCATAGCGTTTCCCTGAGTGCTAACAGCATGGAGCACCAACAGAGCCATGCCCAATTCCAAGGGAAGCTCCCCCATTACATTTCTGTGTGTTTGTCTGCTGTGTTTGGGGTCAAAGCCTCACATACTGTCTCCACAGCAGCCATGGAACTGGAGTCCCTGTCCTCAAAGCTAGCTCAGAGCCAGACATTCCTGCAGGCACCTGAGGACAGTGGTTCTTGGCTCTTGCATGCTTCTGTCCGACGTTCCAGCCGCTTGAACCAGATAGTCAGAGAGCCGGAGCCTGGATTCACAGTGAGTGGTAGATTAATGGCTACAGGCACAAAGAATTAGGATCAGCTCCGCCCTCCCAAACCCTGAAGGAGAACCTGATAGCTTAAGGAGGCTGCTGGGCAAAGGAGCCACCCATTCATACCACTGCTTCTCAGCGAGGGCCACCCACGCCTCTTCACTCGTGGTGACCAAAGGCATGATGTGGTCCACGGAGGGAACCAGCCTTCATCCGCTACTGACATGCGGAGTTTAGTGTCTCTTCACACCCCACCATATTCGGGGGTCTGTGATAGAGTGGCTTCTTCCTCCTCCTCCTCCTCCTCCTCCTCATTCCTCCTCATTCCTCATTTCCTCCCCTCGCCCTGTGTGTGACCAGAGCATGTTTCCTTGACCCATGCTTTCCAGCTTTGCTCTGGGCAGGGGAACGGTAGCCCTCCTGAGGAGAACGAGGCATGAAATGGGCTGCTCCCTTGGGCTTGGGCTTCTGTTTGCCAGTGGCCTGCCAGAGGCACCCACCCTGGGGACCCTGGTCCAAGGAGGAGGTGGCACTGGGACCTAGCCCACAGCTCAAGGTCAGTCCCCGCTGAGACCAGCAGTGTCACGGACCCCCTGCAGAGCCAGGGCTTCAGAAAGGAGTTGAAGCTAGACTCGCCTAGACTTGACAGTAACCGGGACCTGGTAGGAGTCGCCCTCGGCAGATGGCCTGGCGGACCCTAATTTGGTGACACGGGGAAGCCAGCTGTGCCGTTTCCCAATTTTGCTGGCTTTAGGCCCTGCGGCTGCATGCCCTCTGCCCCTCACCCCAGCCAGGGTGCCTGAGAGTAAAAGGACCTTGTGCTTTGGGGAGAGACATTTGCTTTCTGTCTAAAAACACTGCTGGGAGACTGAGCAGCCAAAGATAACTTGTAGAGAAATCATGGAGGGAATGAGATGAGAGGAGGAGTGTTCCTTTTAAGTTTTGCTTTTAAAGAGCGAAAGCGAAAGAGCTCTTTCTATATTGAAGAAAGAAAAAAAAGCAGCTGACATTTAGGGGATCCAAACCCCTGATTGGGGGGGGTGGGGGTGTCAATATTTACCAGGACACTGCGGGACTCAGCAAGCCCACCCGAAAATCATTCCTTGAGCTTTACTTAGAGTAAGATGGCTAGAGGTTCCAGGAGGGATGGAACCACGCTGACTTCAGCCAGAGACACAGAGGCAGCGGCAGGGGATTGAGCGTCGCCTTCCTGTCCCCGTGGGGTTTTCTTCCTCCTAACTGAGTGTGTGACCGGGAAGCCCCCTCTTCCTGACGCACTGCAGCAGGAATCTGAGCATGTCTAGAATGGCCATCCCTCATTGAGAGAATGCCGCCGCCCTTCTTTGGAGCCTGCCTTGTGTCCTGATCTCGTGGCTGCCGTGGTAAGCTCCAGACTGGTTTCCTAGATCCCCACCATCCATGTCAGGCATGAGCACTTCACTCTCTGCCCTCCCTCTTCTGGACCTGCCTCCCTCTCTCTCTCAGGCTGGACGCCGGGCACAGCCCACCTCCTCTAGAGCAAGGGGGACCAGGTTCCAGGGCTGTGGGGTCAAGGGCAGGCCTCCCTGGGCCTCTAGAAGTCTCTTCCGCTAGTTGGCAGGGTGGGGTGTGCCGTGCTGGGTTACTCAGCATGCAGAGGACACTGGCGCACCCATGGGTGGCTCGTGGCCCCCACCCACTCCCAACACATGCACCCACTTAGGCTCTTGCTTCTCCCTAGTGTTCATTCACACACACACATCATTTATGGGGTGTCTGGTAGTGTTCCTCTCCACCTAGGTGCCGAATGAAATACAAAGGTACACCAGGCCAAAACAGCTTGC